GGCGTAACTTGACTTAATGGCACCCATGGCAAGCTCCCAAAAGTGTGCCACCAACGCACACCTCATTTGTCATTTATGCATTGTTCAACATCACGTCAAAAAGTGCCCCCCCCCCCCCAACAAGGACGCCGTAGCTTTGTCACTATGTCTAAGATATTATCATATCCTTGGCAGGATGGCATCAACTAGTTTGATATAGTTTTGTCTTGTGCGTAAATGTGTGTGATTTGCTCAATTTGGGACTATCTTTAAAGGCTTTGTAGTCTAATAATATGAGAAAGCATATTGTATGCGAGTAAAATTCAAAGGATAGAAAAATATACTGTGTGTTTAGTGTGAAAGTGCACTTTTCTTGTTTTTACTAAGGGGTTGATCGCAAATTACGTCACTTTGGGGGGGGGGGGTGGCGATAATTTGTGACACTTTGTGACAAAAAAAAGGGGGGGGGAATATGTGACTCAGAAAAATATTTTAAAAAATCCAAAATTTTCTTTATTCAATTAATTTTAAAAACATTAATTTGACGTCGAAATTGCCTCAAGTAATAGGTACCGTGAAACTCAGTCGCGTACACCTTCTGCGCATATCGAAAAATGACGCAAAAACTGTTGTGACCATTTTACTTTCGGCTTGTGGATGACTACGTTGTTTTGCGTCACAGTTTTCCAACAATAAGGACTTTGAGCTGGAATTTTCACAAAACGAACAGACACTTCAAATTTTCACCACTGTGCAACACCGTCCTTAATACCTTATGGGAAAATGTTAAAGAATAAAATCAAATCTTAGTCTAGTTATGAAAATGGTATATATGTTTTTAAGTTTTTATAGGTGTGACAGTGACGTGGGGGTGAATAATTTGTTAAACTGTTATTAAAAGGTCTTTTTTTGCTTGACGCAATTTACGAACGAGCCCTTATGCTCACTGGTCTATAATGTGCTCAAAGTCAGTTTTCTGGCAGCATCGTGAAAATTGACGCTAGGATCATGTAGCTTGTTTTTTAACACGGTCATTGCTAAGATGAGTGCCTTGTCCTAAAAGATCAGCAATATCAGAATATCAAAAATCAACATGTGATTACACAACTGTGTTGCCCCACTTTGTTGTTTCACTGGTCTCATTTGTATTGCCCACAGTGACGGCAGCTGGGGTCCCGAAGAAAATTCAATTAGTTTGAATCTGGGTTGTGTGGCTCTGCTGACCGCATTTGAATGTCTACCACTGACGCCATTTTTTGTGTGGGTGTGGCATGTTCCGGTAAAGCTTACGCACCGTCTTGCTAATTAGCGAATAAAAGAAGCCTC